CAAATTTCTATGGGAAAGGTTCTATTTTATTCAAGTGCATAGAAGGCAATTTGTCTAGATGGCAAAATTTTACTTATTCTTGAAAGAAAATAATTACTAATATCAAGCTGAACCCAGGAGGAAGACCAACGAAGAATGGATGCCTTTGAATTATGGTGCTGGCAAAGAATATTGGAAGTACCACGGGCTGTGAAAAAGAAGAAACACATTTGTCTTGGAAGAAGCACAGGCAGAAAGCTCCTTAGAAGCCAGGGTGTTTTTGTCAGCAGAGACCCGCCCCTGGACAAGGACATCCTGGTTGGTAAAATATAGGGGCAGCGAAGAAGAAGAAAATCCTCCACCAAATGCCTCGACACAGAGGTTGCAACAGGTGGGCTCCCACGTGGAACAATCCGGAGGATGGCGCATGCGCCAGCAGCGTTTTGTTCCGTTGTTGCGGGGTTGCTAGGCGTCGGCACAGAAGAGATGGCACCTAGCAACAACATTATCAAGCTAACGTCCTTTCCAGTTAGTGTATAAATCTGATACGATTTTGCGTAAAATTCTAGTGGAGTATTCTGAGAATATGATAAATGTATTCTAAAGTGTGTATGGAAGAATTAGGATGTACAAATACCTAAGACAATTTCAAACTCAAAAAGATATGTTATTTTTACTAGCTAGGGATTTATTATCGAGTCTGCATAATAAAAACTGACATCCAGGCAAAAGAGACACTTCATGGAACAGAATGGAGGGAAATCATTCCATTGACTAGGATGGAAACTCAGACCCATGCCTTGCCTTTCTCTCTCTACAGCTGTGGTCTGTATGTGAGAAATTAATGTTATAGAAAATTGGTGTATCAAACCAGTGGAGGGAAAGAGAAGTAATTTAGCTGGGTTTTGGAACCTGCCTCACAATATAAAAATAACTATTTCTGGATCTCTATAACAACAAGCAAAAGTGAACTTTAGGTAGATTTATGACTTAGATGTGAAAGAAAATACTATACTGCTAAATGAAATAAATGGAGTCCCTGAGCAGTGAACATTGTTATATTATTGGCAAAGGGCTGGACAGTGAAACTCACCCCAAAGCATCTTAACAGACAGGAGGCGAGGGGGTCGTTTTCCTAAAGGTCACGACCTTGAAAATCCTATGGAACAATTCTATCTCGCACACGGAGTCATCGTGAGACGGGGGCACCTCCGCACCAACTAACAACAGACTAACAAGAACAAATGAAGGAAATGTACACGAGGCGTCGGAAGGAGGAAGACATTCTTAGCTAAAACCGTGAAAGCACAGAGCATGAGGCAAAAAGGATGAAATCGACCATGTCTCGTCTAAGAACATCTTGAATGAACATGATACAGTTTTTAAAAAAAAATTGGAGAATATTCTTTTGACACTTACAGATGAGAGGGTGTTGAAGGCAGCTCAGTAGCCGTCACCGGAGCTTTGGATGTTTACAATGGGGAATCCCACACCATGGTATTCTCTAGAAAGAAGTAATAACATAGGTGTTTAATTTGTGAACCTAAAATATAGTTTAGAATGAATATGTTGAAACAAAGTGTGAGATTTTCTTTTTTTCCCCCATTCTTTTCTTTTCTTTTTTTAAATTGTTTTATTAGGGGTTCATACAACTCTTATCACAATCCAGACATACATCAATTGTGTAAAGCACATGTGCAAATTCATTGTCTTCATCATTCTCAAAACATTTGCTCTCCATGTAGGCCCCTGACATCAACTCCTCATTTCTCTCCCACCCTCCCTGCTTCCCCCTCCATCACGAACCCTTGATAATTTATAAATTATTATTTTGTCATATCTTACATCATCCGACGTCTCCCCTCACCTACTTTTCTGTTGTCCATCCCCCAGGGAGGAGGTTATATGTAGATCCTTGTGATCAGTTCCTCCTTTCTACCCCACCTTCCCTCCACCCTTCCGGTATCACCACTCTCACCACTGGTCCTGAAGGGATCATCCACCCTGGATTCCCTGTGTTTCCAGTTCCTATCTGTACCAGTGTACATTCTCTGGTCTAGCCAGACTTGCAAGGTAGAATTCGGATCATGATAGTTGGGGCGGGGGAGGGGGGTGTGTGGAGGGTGGGGGTGGAGGAAGCATTTAGGAACTAGAGGAAAGTTGTACTTTTCATCGTTGCTACATTGCACCCTGTCTGGCTCACATACATTTCAAAATAGCACCTATTTTACACAAATGAAAAATATAAATTGAACACATGGGAATGGGTATACATGTGGAAAGAGGGAAGGAAAATGAGCAGGAAATGGGCATGAAAAGAAAAAAAATTATCTGAGGGTTCTTGCGCAAGCTAAGTATAATAATGTATCCTGAACTGTGACACATGATTAACAATCTTTTGGCTCTTAAAAATGAAGAAGAAAAAGATAAAGAAATTCCCATTTAAAAGTAGCGACCTTCTCTGTGTCTGTATAGTTATAGTTAAAATTAACAAGCATCTTGGAGGAGAGACTTTTCCTTTCAGAAAGTAGACACTTGAATGAGAACTCTGTAATGTAAACTGCAATACCAACCTCTTCTGGCATAACCACTCAGGATCTCCCAGGACTGGTAGATGATGCCGTTGTTGGGGGATTTGTGTAGGGAAACAATTGCCCTAATTGTGCCGAGGATTGTGACTCTGCCTTCTTCTCTTGTGAACAAGACTATATAGAGAGAGTTTTGAATAACTTGCCTCTGAAGAAAAGAGATGATGTGTTGGCATTCTCTGCAGGGTGATCTGAGGACTCGGGTACAATGCCAGGGATAGGGCATTTACAAACACTCGAGGTGGTAGGTGTGAATATGACCTACAATGAGACCAATAGTAGGAGCGCACCCTTTACCCAATCCCTTCTCTTCCAGCCACCGTAACCCAGCCAATCTGGCGCAGAATTAGGGGGCGATAGCTGAGTAGCCTAGAGTATAGCAAAGATGCATAACCTTGGGAAGCCAAGCTTGTGATGCCCTTGCACAAGTCCAACCCTGGGAATGGTGATATTGTTCTCTCTTGAAGAAACGGTATCATTTTCACAAAGATGTGAAACCGGTTGTGTCACCACAGTGCACCAAGCTTTATCTCCGTTGACAATTTGGCAAAGACAAAAACTATAGTAGTTGAAGCGGGTTCTATAGATTCCGATTGATTTGATTTTTCTGATAGATTTGATTCTTCAGTTCTCATTTGAAGTTAGAAAGTTACACTAGACACGTGAGTTTGGTTAAACGGTGGACTGGTAGACAATCCCAGCAAGAGAAGTCCCAGTGGAGGTAAGATCCAGATAGCCTATTAATTTGGATAAGGGGGGATCCTTAGATAAAATTAATTTGAACGAAAAAATATTCACAGTAGTTTGCACAGTAATCTTGGTGACGCAACAAATTTCAAAGAAGTCAGTAAACATTTTAAAGAGTACCCATTACGGGCCAGGTATCGGCCTACATCAGGAAATGGATTAAAGATGACTGGGGCATGATCTCCTGGAGATCACAATGGGATCATTTGATCAGGTTCCTTGAGATTCCTTGCAATGGTCTCATTTGTAGAGTTAAGGTGGCTACAGTGCGTCAGCCACCTACAGTATTTCCAGGCAAGGTTGGCATGGTTGTCCTTTCTCCCTTGGATAATCTGTGCCGCTGTGGTAGGGGCGTTCCTGTTGGCTTCAACTCCTCGTGACTCCTGTAAGGAACGGCACCAAACAATGGCCGGTGCTGCACCAGCCTCACCATCATTCCGCTGTTTGAGGGCACCGGTGCCATCTAACCATCCCACTAAAGAGCCTCCGTTCTTTTGCGCTCCACTTTACCAAGGACGATGTCCTCCGGAGACTTGGCTCTATTGATAACATCCCCCAAGTCTCACAATCCTCATTCTATCGCCCATGCTTGCTGTACTTCTAAGATACTTGTTTATTGTTCTGGTAGTCCAACGGATAGCTAAGATTCTTCACCAACAACCTGATTCAAATCCATTAATTCTCAGTCTCTTGGTCCCGTCCGGATGAGGCAATAGAAACTCCCATGGTTTGGGTCGGGAACACCTCAGTTCTCCGAGAAACAGTTTTCCTTTGTAACACTTTAACGAGGTGTTTTGCAGTGGATCTGACGAATGCATAAGGCTAGGCATTGTTTGATTTTCCAACTGCTGTTCTACGGTCGGTGATTGTGGAGCCAAGCGAAATGAATGCCTTGACAACTTTCATATTTTCTCTGCTTATCCTGATGTTGCTATTGGTCCAGTTGGGAGGACTTGTTTTCTTTGGTTAGATGTAATCCATCCCGAAGGCTATCGCTCTGATCTTCATCTAGAAGCGCGTCAAGTCCTCTTGGCTTGCAGCAAGCAAGAGTGTGTCATCATTTGCATATCACAAGTTGTTCATGAACCTTTCTCCAATCCTGATATTGCATTCTTCTTCGTATAGTCCAGCTTTTGGAATTCTTTCCTCAGGATACAGATGGAATAAATATAGTGAAGTAACAAAAATCTGGTGCACATCTTTCCTGACTTTAAACCAGGTAGTGTCTCTTTGTTGTCTTTGAGTGACTGTGTCGTGGCCTATGCACAGGTTCCCACAGATAAATAAAATGCATTTCAGAGATAGGGCAACTTCTATCCTCCACTTGTTTATTGAATTGTGACCATGGTGGGACTTTGTGCTTGATGTTCGGGGGTGCATGCGAAGGTACTTGTGCAACCTATGTCCCTTGTACTACCAAAGTCCTGCTGCAGCATAAGGTCAGCACAACTGTGGCAAGATCATTTCTGTTAGAATTATCTGGAAAAGAAAGGTGTCACCTTACAGGGACCTCTGTGGTTCTCTTTCTTACAAGTCTGTTTGCTCTCCTCTTGTCTGTCATAACTGTGTTTATGTACCACCCAGCTCTACCTACTAAAAATGAGAGATGATAGGCCCCTAATGAATCACTCTTTAAACATCTAAGTCATAATAATCAATCACAGCTCCATGTCAGTAGGACAATGATCTCTGTGAATCTGTGATCTTTACCTAAGGTCATGAACAGACCCATTTAGAGAGGGCATGGACTCTCTCACTGCTTTGAAATATTAGTCCTGCAAGAAGCAACAGGCCGATGGAGGCCCTTCACTCAAAGTGCTTGACACTTCGGGTTACCTATTGGCAATGTGGGAGGAAAGAGGGCCTCTGGGACTTCACACATGCTTCGGGAGAAGGCACCAGATGAAGTTAGAGAATGTTTCCTTCCTGCATCATCAGGAAGACTGTGGAGTTGAGGGCTTCGTTTTTCTCCTCTCCCTGGATAATTTACCCATTCCATTGATCCTGGTCCCACCTTTCAGACACAATAGACTAGACGTGGTGGAATTGTTGGGGGTAGACTGTGTTAGGCAGCTAGCTAGGCTCTGTAAGAGAGTTCTATTCAAGGAAGAAAACCCAAATTGGGTGAAAACATGAAGTTAGTAATTTTCAGATAAGGATGGACATGAATTGGAGCAGTTAGTTATTTGAAAAGAGAAAAGAAAATGCAAGACTTGATCTTCATAGAGAAGAGATGACCAGAACCTTTATGTATGAAGTGGTGACATCATGGTGGGAGTGTGTGTGTGTGTGTGTGTGTGTGTGTGTGTGTGTGTGTGAAGCCAAGAGCTAGAGTCAACCCCTGCAAGGGGCAGCACTCCATTCTATCCTTCCTGTCACACCTGCTCTATGTGCTGCTATCTCTTTGTCTCTGAAAGACCTCACTGCAGGCGTTTGGAAAGATGGTGCTGTCGGGGATTTCTTTTCAGCACCCAGGAATTCCAGAAGAGTGATCACTGAGGCAGAAGGGTCTTTCTTGGACTCGTCAAAGTTTATTTCAAGCTCCTTCTGATTTTTTGTGATCTTTAACGTCTACCTTCTTCAGTTCTACCTTTGAGCTTCAGTCTGTTCCAGCTTCGGCATCGATCCCTATGGAAGCAGGGCCAATCAAGTGTGTCTAGCATGTTCTACCTGTTTTCTCTCTACATTTGAGAGTCTGCTTCTGGATACTTTTCCAGATCTGAACCTGGCTTCCCAGAGACAGCCAGTAGGCTTCCATGCCCTTCTCACTCAGATTCATTCTTGCTCTATCTCTGTTCCTACTCACTCAGGTATAGATGGCCAGGCCTTTACACACTTGTTTAATTTTGGCACACTCTAGTGAAAGTGTACTATTTTTTATCCTGATTTGATTGATGAGACACCTAGGCTCAGACACTTTAAAATAAGTGACTCAAAGGCACATATGTCAAATTCTAATGTTTTACTTCTTTCTACCCAAAGCTACTTGAGGGCCTGGATTCATTATTTATCTCTTCTTAGCAATTATTTGCGGATTGCTCACCAGTTACTTAGTGGGGGCCTTATGAGTATTCTGTCCACTCCATTCAAAAACGTTAAAGGCAAGACAGCTAGACTGTGCTTCTAGACCATGTATGTCTATAGAATCAACTGGCAACTGTTAGTTAGA